TATCTTTACATATTACGAGGAGGGAGCTGTGTGCCGGTAGCTCCCTCCTTGTAATAAACTGAACAAACAAACACTCAGTGTTTGTTTGTTCATCTGACATTTCTATTCATTCATTCGTCTTTCTGATGAATGAATGAATAGATGAAATTCCCGTTCGCATGACCAAGTGTTTCACTGGGCATGTGCGGGAATCTCACAGTCTGTCTAGTGTGGGCAGATGACTTGTCCCAAAGGGACTTCATCTACCCACACAAAGATGGCGGCGCCCTGAATATAGTTCGGGGCAGAAAATAAAGATTAAAAAATAGGTAATATAGGGGGCTTAGGGGCATTTGGGGGTGACTAGGGGGTCAATTAGAGATAGTGGAGACGGAAGGGGGTTAAAAAAGACGGGATTCGGCCATGACAGTGCTGCTTTAAGGTGCTTATTTGGTGATAAAGTTCAAAGCTGCTGGAAAACCCTCAATTGGGCACTCCACAAATCCAACAAATTGAAAAACACAGAGAAAACAAACTCAGTGTTTAGGTGATACACCCACCACCTAAAACAACCAAGTGGGAGTGCAACGCTATAAAATATGTAAAGCACTTACCCCTCAAAGCAGATGTAAGGAAATAGTGTTATATATACAAAATGAAAAAAAGAAAAAAAGATAAAACAAAAATATAGTGTAACACTGATAGGATGTGAATTGATAGTATATTGATCGTATCCAAGCTTTTCAAAGGGATTTCCAGTTTGTGATATCCACGACCGAGGAGAAATTAATAATAATGGAATATAGGTGTAGTATTTTCACATCCACATTGATTATAGTTCACAGAAAACCATAGGGAAAATTGCTCTCTCTCTCTCTCTCTCTCTCTCTCTCTCTCTCTCTCTCTATATATATATATATATATATATATATGTATAGTTGCAAGAAAAGTATGTGAACCCTTTGGAATGATATGGATTTCTGCACAAATTGGTCATAAAATGTGATCTGATCATCATCTAAGTCACAACAATAGACAATCACAGTCTGCTTAAACTAATAACACACAAAGAATGAAATGTTGCCATGTTTTTATTAAACACACCATGTAACATTCACACTGCAGGTGGAAAAAGTATGTGAACCCTTGGATTTAATAACTGGTTGAACCTCCTTTTGGCAGCAATAACTTCAACCAAATGTTTCCTGTAGTTGCAGATCAGATGTGCACAACGGTCAGGAGTAATTCTTGACCATTCCTCTTTACAGAACTGTTTCAGTTCAGCAATATTCTTGGGATGTCTGGTGTGAATCGCTTTCTTGAGGTCATGCCACAGCATCTCAATCGGGTTGAGGTCAGGACTCTGACTGGGCCACTACAGAAGGCATATTTTCTTCTGTTTAAGCCATTCTGTTGTTGATTTACTTCTATGCTTTGGGTCATAGTCCTGTTGCAACATCCATCTTCTGTTGAGCTTCAGCTGGTAAACAGATGGCCTTAAGTTCTCCTGCAAAATGTCTTGATAAACTTGGAAATTCATTTTTCCTTCGATGATAGCAATCCGTCCAGGCCCTGACGCAGCAAAGCAGCCCCAAACCATGATGCCCCCACCACCATACTTCACAGTTGGGATGAGGTTTTAATGTTGGTGTGCTGTGCCTTTTTTTCGCCCCACATAGTGTTGCGTGTTTCTTCCAAACAACTCAACTTTGGTTTCATCTGTCCACAGAATATTTTGCCAGTACTGCTGTGGAACATCCAGGTGCTCTTGTGCAAACTGTAAACGTGCAGCAATGTTTTGTTTGGAAAGCAGTGGCTTCCTCTGTGGTATCCTCCCATGAAATTCATTCTTGTTTAGTGTTTTACGTATTGTAGATTCGCTAACAGGGATGTTAGCGTTTGCCAGTGACTTTTGTAAGTCTTTAGCTGACACTCTGGGATTCTTCTTCACCTCATTGAGCAGTCTGCGCTGTGCTCTTGCAGTCATCTTTACAGGACGGCCACTCCTAGGGAAAGTAGCAGCAGTGCTGAACTTTCTCCATTTATAGACAATTTGTCTTACCGTGGACTGATGAACAGCAAGGCTTTTGGAGATACTTTTATAACCCTTTCCAGCTTTATGCAAGTCAACAATTCTTAATCATAGGTCTTCTGAGAGCTCTTTTGTGCGAGGCATCATTCATATCAGGCAATGCTTCTTGTAAAAAAGCAAACCCAGAACTGGTGTGTGTTTTTTATAGGGCAGGGCAGCTGTAACCAACACCTCCAATCTCATCTCATTGATTGGACTCCAGTTGGCTGACATCTCACTCCAATTAGCTCTTGGAGATGTCATTAGTCTAGGGGTTCACATACTTTTTCCACCGGCACTGTGAATGTTTACATGGTGTGTTCAATAAAAACATGGCAACATTTCATTCTGTGTTTGTTATTAGTTTAAGCAGACTGTGATTGTCTATTGTTGTGACTTAGATGATGATCAGATCACATTTTATGACCAATTTGTGCAGAAATCCATGTAAATATATCCATTCACATTCCTACAAGCTACATATTTTCTATCACTTGGAATGACAGGATATAGGTAAGTCAACAAGGAGGTTTTCCTGGAAGGAGGATATTAAAGAAAGGAGGTGTAATTATTGGAGGGCAAAGTTGGTTTGGTATCTGCTATTTAAAGTGATAAAGTTTGTGCTTAACACCAAAAGTCTATTTTTTTTTTCTTTTAACCCCTAACTATGGAGTGGATACTAAATCAAGCTTTCTGTGCCATGAATTATGGAAGTCTTTTCATTTTTTCTATCCATCTTGTTTCTCAGCTTTTTTTATTGCCTTAATGAAGGCTTCATAATGCAGAAAACCTCAACCCCAGTCTCTTTGTGATCAAATTAACTATGTAGATTAGTATTTACATGACCAAATGGAATAGTTCTGTTTACGGTACACCATCTTCCCAGTATTAAATGAATAAAGAATGACTGAGCGAAAGATGCTAGACTGTTACTGCCTTTGTTTGGCCTAGCATTACTTGAGTTAGAGCAACACTAATATCATAATTAGTCAGCGAGTTCAATAGAGACTGAGCCATCATCACTTACCCTGTTTGTTTCTGGATGCCACTGTTATATGGCTGAGACATAACATATAATACAAGAAACACAAGTGCCAAGTATGTTCATTTGGCACAGCTGTATGTGGTTGCAACGTGCTTCACTAGAGGATGTCAGCGATTTCATAATAAAATGCTGAAATCTCTGCGCGACATAATCTCTTATCTTCTGAAATGTAAAATGTGATCTAAACACTTGTTTTCCTGAATCTACAGCGTGATCATACGTCTTATGCAGAATATTTTGGGGGTGTGCACAAAGAATTGTTTATTCTATATTTGGTAAGAAAATGCTAACATTATTCAAATTATCTGATTGATATCAAAGAAAATGCATTTTTGCTAATCATGTGTACATAAATCAAAATTAATTACTTTAATATAAACTGCCAGCTAAATGATAGTCTATAAAGATATGATTAATATATACAGTATATAGACAATTTTCATATACTTTCTCTTCTGCCAGAGGGTGAGTAATATTAACTCATAATGATGAAAAATAAAGAGAGGGATATGGATGGCGGTATTGGGGACAAGTTAACCCTAGATTCGGCATACCTGGCACACCTGTTGCACACAATTATGTTGTTATTATTATTGGCATTTATGTGATATAATTACTCTCCATATTCACTAAAGAGGGAATGGGTAGGAATGGAAAAAAGAGTGCCAGATTTTAGATCAAAATAATAATCTCATAATAAATTCTTGCCAAGAGATATTCCAATCATGTAATGGATTAATGTGTTGCATACTTGACAAAATATTTTTTGTGAGCCTTCTTGTTGCTATGGAGCAGTCTGATGAGTGATTTGTAATTGTTTGCACTAATTGGTAATCATCAAGGCTAATTAACTATTTTCTGTCAGCCACACATAGTAATTATACAGTATTCTAACATAAATTAATGTTAACCCCACAAAGCAAGTTGTTACGAAGTCTTTGAGTACCATTCCAAAATGTAATAGATTGGTAATCTTTCTGGTCCTTGTGGGGTTAATTCAAAGATAATATACCAAAAGTACAATATATATTTATAAATAATTAGATTATGTTACGGCAGTGCATTAGCTTCCTGTACTAAAATATCTATACATACAGTCTGTAAAATGGCTAATATTAGTAATAGCTTCTAATGTATGTTACTTTGATGTAAAGTTATCTAAAACAAATATGGCAAGTTGATCTCAATCACAAGGTTATTAAGTTGCTACGTGAAAATAACATATGAACATACGTAAGTTGAAAAATATATCAATATTTATGTGCTATTTTATATTTATAACTAATGGCAATAATATTTAACCCCTGAATGATGAGTTGTTGGATCCATTATATCATATCATCTGTCCTAAAGTGATTGAAAGGCATACTTACCATGGTCCATTGCAGTGGTTATGGTGTAAAGATTGTTAGGGTGCAGTTTCCGTGATTTGTGTCAGATTATTTGTGTTTTCGAGTGACTCAAAGTCCTGCTCTTCTCTGGTAGATCTGGTAATGTGGAAATGAGCATCTGTATCTAATTTTGGAGAGCAATTATAGGCTGAGAACACCTGGAGGTAAATTACCCAAGTATTCTCTGTCTATGATTGTCATCCAAAATTTTGGATGACTTATGCAAAAGTTTGCTTTTACATTAGAGGGTCCACGGACATTTTGGGGGCCTGGGAGAGCTCTGGTGTTTGACAAAAAGCTCAAAATGTTTTGACAGAAACTGGGGAGAAGGCACACAAACACACAATGATTGGTTTGGTGCTTAGAGTGTTCCTAAAATCTATACTATACAAATTGACACTGTCAAGGGGCGTGTCCGGCTGCCAACGAAGCTGGCCGCGGGAACGAGCTGCTCCTCGTGGCCCCAGCAATAATCTCGCCAAACAGAGCTTACCCCACGCGCAATCAACTCACCATGGGGCGCACAAAGAAGCTGACAGAACCCCAGGGTACCCCCAGACCATCGGGATCCGCGGTCGAGCCATCTATCCGCTCCTTCCTCACAACTCCACGGGACTTCGCGTCCCAACCAGAAATGGAGAGCTCAAATGAGACCGCGACCCCCGCCGGATTCTCTCTGGCTTCATCAGCCTCGCCGGAAGCGCAGGGGACACTAGATGGGGACCTGCGAGCCCTCCTGCCCAATCTGCTTACCAAGGTAGATCTGGAAGCCCTCTCAGACCGCCTCAGCAGAGTTATTAGGGATGAACTGGCCCAGGTGAGGGCGGATGTAGCCTCTATGGACGCATGACTTATGGCTTCAGAGACAGATACCAGAGCCCTCCGATCTGACCATGAACTCGCCCGCACTTCAATTAACAGCTGTGAAGCCAGCTTGGCCCACCTAACCACCTGGGTTGATGATCTCGATAATAGGGGCTGCAGGCCTAACCTCAGAGTGCGGGTGGTGAGGGGGGCCCGACAGAACCTACTCGAGATCCTACGCACCGTCTTCAGCCATGCCCTGGGAGGACAACAAATCCATAGACTGGGCCTGGTCAGAGCCCACCACGCTCTGTGCGCACCACCTGCAACCGGCGAACAGCCACGGGATATTGTCTGCTGCCTAGACAATTTTGCCATGAAGGAAGATATCTTCCGCGGCGCACACCGCATGGGCACAATCCGCATCGATAACCAGCATATATCCATCTACCAGGACATCTCCCGCTACACCCTGCAGGCAAGAAAGGCTCTCAGACCAATAACCATAGCACTCCAAGCGGCAGGTATTCCTTACAGATGGAAATACCCCTTCTGTCTATCCGCACGCAGAGGACCGGACCTCCACGTTATACGGACCCCGACGGACGCCCCTGAATTCCAGCGCTCCCTAGGGCTCCCGCTTGTACAGGTTCCAAACTGGATGGCCCACCAATTCATACGCCAAGCTATGGGCCCTCCACCGCCACCACCAGGCAGAGATCAGGGCAGGGACAGGCGCCAACGTGACCGCCCATGGCACCCGGACCCAACAAGGCCAGAAGAATAAAACGCGTAGCAAGACCCTCCAACACTCAACAAACTTGTGAGTACTTTCCATTGTCTGGGGACACTGTCTATACATACACTGCACCACAGGGAGGGACACGACATACACCTTGGGGAGGGGGGGCACGTAGGGGACCAGGACACAGATGCACATAGGGACTAAACTTAAGCCTTCCATACGGGGACACATACGATGCTACAGACGGAAGGACTACAGGCCTACAAAACAGAAGACATTACAAGAGGCCTGGATAATCCGAACTCAGTGGCACCAATGGCCCTCCAGGACTGATCACAGCTAAATAAGGCCTAGCTGCTACAATTTGGCGGGAGGATGGGAGGAGGGGGGAGAAGGGGCTGTTATTAACCACACAGAAGCATGGCACCCAGTGGGGTGAGCAGCCATAAGAGTAAATCCAGCTCTACCCACTGGGGGCAACACCACTAAACCCGAAACTGCACATCTCTACACAAGCAATTGACATTGTCACAGGAAAGTCACTGATGTAGGGCAAGGATACGACAAGGCGGCGCATGCAGGGAGGGGGAGGTGGAAGGGGTAAGGCAACAACAA